CAAAATATGACCCAGAAGAGCCTTGGTGGTCAGACATGTAAAGACAAATTGGGTAGGGTTGGTGGGTGGCTGTCAGGGGCACATTCTACAGGGGAAAAATAGCTGATACAGAAGCCTGAAAGGAAAAGCGGGCAGAGCGCCTGTACAGGACTGTTAACCTGCCGCATCCACGGTACAATGCGCCTTTCCAGAACATAGCGGCGGCCCGGGGACAGGGATCGCTCAAACAGCACCAGAGGCTGCATTCCAACTTTTTCTCCCTCAACAAGTCCGTTTTCATTGTTAGTTTCTCCTTAAACACAAACTCAAAAACGATTGGCTGAACACGAGAGAACAAGGAAAACCTGACTGAGGAATGAGGCCTTTAAACTTAAGGGCCTTTGGGGTCCGGGCGCGGTGGCTCAGGCCTGTAATCCCAGAACTTTGGGGGGCAGAGGTGGGTCATTTGAGGTCAGGAGTTCGAGACCAGCCTGGCCAACATGGTGAAACCCTGTCTCTACTAAACAACACAAAAGTTAGCCAGGCGTGGTGGCGGGCGCCTGTAATCCCAGCTACTCGGGAGGCTGAGGCAGCAGAATCGCTTGAAGCCATGGACTGTCAAGGGACAGAGGCTGCAGTAAGCCAAGATCGCCCCACTGCACTGCAGCCTGGGCGACAGAGTGAGACTCCATCTCAACAAGCGCTTCCCATCATGCCGGTTAATTTTTGTATTTTTAGTAGAGACAGGGTTTTACCATGTTGGCCTGGCTGGTCTAGAACTCCTGACCTCAGGTGATCCACCCGCCTCAACCTTCCAAAGTGCTGGGATTACAGGAATGAGCACTGCGCCCGGCCAAAAAACCGAAAATCTTAAAGGCCTTTCCCCTTCCCCGCCTGGGCTCAAACAACAACCGGAGCCAACCTGTCATGCCCCGTCGCGGTTCCGGAGCAGGTCGGCTGACTGAGGGCGACCATGGGCCCCGAAAGGGCTGCGGGAGACGCGGGCTCCCACCTCGGGAAGCGGCCACCAGGGCGAGAGGTGCCAGCAGTCCCCAAGCCAGCCCCGCGCAAGGAGCCAGAGAGACGCACCCTCAGCCTCCTCCTACCCAAGCCTCCAGCAGTCCCCGCGATCTGGGCCAGGCCAGTCGCAGGAGAAAGGGGTGTGTTGGCCCAGCCCGGGGAACCGGGGCCTCTCCGGGGCAGGCTCTCCTTTGTCCCGGGACTCCAGGAGCCTCCTCTCCGCCCTCGCCCTGACCCGCGAGGCCGCGGCTGGGCGCCTCATCATGACGTTGCAGTGGAGCGTGAGCTGCGGCGGCTCCTGGTTCTTGTGGAAGATAGAGGCTAGCAACTTCAGCTTGGCCTTGAACCCTGACACGGACATCTTACCCTCATTTCCGGCGGGAGGGGCGCGGAAGGTGAGCCGATCCGGAGCCCCTGTCATGGCCACGACCACCCGGCAGGACAGCCCGGCGGAGCTCTGGCCGCTCTGCCTCTCCCCACTGCCTCCACTGTAGTCGGAGCACGGCTGGAAAATGGTAAGGGGCACCGAGGCTTCTGCGGGGAGCTGTGTGGCGGCCTGGGCGGCTGCTCCCCTTGTAACCGACTCCACCGACAGGAGGCGGGGCTCCTGTCAAGCCGCAGCTTAAAAGGGCAATAGCACCACCGCCCCCTCTACCGCCTGGGAAAGGGCTGCCCCCACCTTACCCCCTTCCCTCTCACTCCTTACCCCCGCGCTCCCAGTGCCCACCCATTTCCGCAGGTGCAAGAGTCTGGAGCATGAGTGCGCTTCTGGCTGCCCCCTCCTAGCCTTGACTCAGCACTGCTGGACCCATCTGGTCCGTTCCTGGCACTGGCAAACTGGAGGCTCCGGGCAGCACAACCACCAACTCGTGTGTGCGTGTGTGTGTGTGTTGGGGGTGCGGGGTGGGGGGCACAAAACCACTAACGCGCGCGTGTGTGTGTGTGTGTGTGTGTGTGTGTATGTATGTGTCTGTCTCCCAAGGGAACAGCACTGCTGAGTTCAGGCTGAGTTCAGTCCTCATGGACTGTAAGCAAAATACACTCACAAGAAGGCTATGTGCTGTTTTGTCTTTTGCAGTGACATCATGTTTGCAGTGACATCATGTGGCTCATGTTTTATGTTTTTCAGAGTTCATTAGTTTCTGTTTGTTCTCAGTTAATATCCAGCTCAACAGATTGTGTAAGTAGAATACCCCCTGAAAGTCACCTACATAAAATATAGTGAAAAATTTGTCACTCACTTAAACTATAGTTGAAAACATGTACTCATTAGTTTTGTGTAGCCGACACTGGATACTGGGTAAGGGCACAGGATCCCAGGGCTAGACTGCCTGGGTTCAAGTTCCGATTGAGCCACTTGCTGGCTTTGAAATACTTGACAGCTTTAAGCCTCAGTTTCTTTCTTTTTTTTTTTTTTTAACTTAATCCCAAATGTGATAGTAAGTCTCAGTTTCTTGATCTGAAAAACAGAAATGATTCAATGAGAGTCTATGTGAAAAGCTACTATCTGGCTCAGGAAAGTCCTCAGCTTTAGCTGTTAAAGTTTTAAAAGCCACTTTAAAGTTTTTAAAGTCACTGCCTGGCTCAGGAAAGTCCTCAGCTTTAGCCCTTATTAGCTATGATTATTATTGTGCTGGCTACACATATATTAATGAGGCAGGAAAATGCTCAAGGATAACAACCAAGTATCCAGATTATTTCATCAGATCGAGACAGATACATATGTGTGTATGCTCATGTTTTAGCTCAGAGCCATTTGTCTAAAAGGCTGTTGAACTCAGAGGCCCAGGCAGTATCAACTTTACTTTGCAGTGGAGCCATCACTTTTGTTAATCAATGAAATTGACATAACGCTCTTTTTTTCTTTTTAGCACCAGCCATGTACCTAGAGCTAACTGTGTCAAGAAGAGCATACTTCAATTGGCTGGAGTGAGCAATTCAACTTGTGGAGGAATGAGAAATGATAGTGTTGAGACGAGAAACATAAAACCCCAGGGTAAGGTAGGAATCACTGAAAGTCAGGCAAAGGAACTGGCATCCAGTGATGAGTCAGGCTTTGCCCGTCTCTGGCCCTACAGATGGCTCTTTGGAAAGGAAAAAATTAAGCCAGGCCCGAGGGCACAGATCCTAAGGGACTGCTGGCAGCTCTAGGCTGTCTATGGAAGAGAAGCAGAGGGTGGCATCTGGTTGAAAGAGGGAGCTGGGGGGCATGGCTTGAGCCTGTGTTTACAGATGGAGTCCCCTGATTCCTGCGACTGGGGAAGGAGATCATGCCTGGATCAGGGGACCTCAAATCAGAACTTTTCCCACCCACACTCCTTCTTGTCAGGGCATCTTTCACTGCAAACAACAGATAAACTAGTTGAAAGTTCAGTAGATTCTCATGATGGTGCCCAGCAGGCCAGGCCTAGCTGCCCTTTAACATGTGACTGAGGGTGATGCCACTGGCCCATAGGACACACTGGGAACTCTTTACATCCATGGACACGCCCTGCCCCACAGAGACAGCTATGCAGGGTTCTTTAGGTTTGGTGTGCTGTGCTGGCAGTTGCCTTATAAATAATGTAGGATTAAAATGGGATGCCCTGGAGCTTAGCTGACCTTTACTCCCCACTCTAAAATGAAGGGGCTGCTAGTTTTGTCTGTTTTATGAAAGATGGGTCTGTCATTGTTTTTAGAACCTTTGGAGAAAGATTTCTTGGGAGGAAGCTACCCTGAACACTCAAGAGATTTTTCTCATTTACTGGCACACCAGCTTTAGAGTCCAGGTCTTCATCCTGGCTCAGCCACCCTCTAGCTGTGTGGCCTTTGAGAAGTTGCTTGACTACACTGAGTCTCACTGTCACTATGAGTGGAGGTTGCTACATTGCTACTGTGTGGAGAACCTTCCCCCAGGCACTCTTATAAGGTGATGGTGAAGATTAAATGAAATAATGAGGCTGAAGGGGGAGGATCGCTTGAGGCCAGGAGTTTGAGACTAGCCTGAGCAACAAAGCCAGACCTCATTTCTAGGAAAATTTTTTTTGTTTTTTTTTTGAGATAGAATCTCACTCTGTTGCCCAGGATGGAGTACAGTGGCATGATCTCAGCTCACTGCAAGCTCTGCCTTTCGGGTTCATGCCATTCTCCTGCCTCAGCCTCTGGAATAACTGGGACTACAGGTGCCCACCACCACACCTGGCTAATTTTTTGCATTTTTAGTAGAGACAGGGTTTCACCAGGTTAGCCAGGATGATCTCGATATCCTGACTTCACGATCCACCCGCCTCAGCCTCCCAAAGTGCTGGGATTACAGGCATGAGCCACCGCACCCAGCCCAAAAATGTATTTTTAAAAATTACCTGGACTTAATTGTTTATGCCTGTAGTCCCAGCTACTAGGGAGGCTGAGGTGAGACCACTTCAGCCCAAGAGTTTGAGGCTGCAGTGAGCCATGATTGCACCACTGCATTCCAGCCCAGGCAACAGAGAGAGACCCTATCTCAAATAAATGAATGAGTCAGTAAATAAATAAATAAATGAAATAATGCATTTAATTAGTACACTAGTACATGATCAGGCACATGATAAATGCTTGACAAATGGTAGCCCCAATAAGCTTTGTAATGTTTTGGGAGAGAGTGTTTGGACTCAGCCCAGTCACAGAAGCATTTGAAAAGACTGATTTGTATGATGGCTATTTCCTACAGGTAAAAACCTGTACCTCCAGGGACCCAGGGCATTGCCTCAATGGGGCACTTTATTCTATTTACTCTTGTTTTGGGCAGCACCTGTTGCCCTAGGGCTAAGCAGGACTGCTACCACAGACTCGATTGCCAAGAGTATCTCCCTCCCCAAGCTAGCCGTGGGAAAGCCACTTGCATCATAAGACTACAGGAAATCAAAGGGAATAAAAACCACAATTTAGTCACTCACTCTCCAGTTGATGGGAAATAGGTTTTTGCTATTTTGAACAGAGCTGTTAGGAACATTCATTGTCCTCATCCCCTGTTTTATATAGGCAAGAATTTCTCTTGGATGTAGAGTAGAATTGCTGGTCTGGGAGGAGTGTGAATATTCAACCTTATGAGATGGAGCCAAACTGTTTTCCGAAGTGGTCATACCAGTGTATACTCCCAGCAGCAGTTCTTAAGAGATCTCAGGATCTCTATCTTCTGATGATGTCACAAGCATTCAAAAAGAATGAATGCCAGCTATAAACAACAATAAGGATGAATCTTAGCAATATAATATTAAGTGAAAAAAGCAAGTTCCAGAAGGATACATACAGCATACTTTATATAACTTGGAAAAGAAAATGTGGGCATGTTGGCTCATGCCTGTAATCCCAGCACTTTGGGAGGCCAAGGCAGGAGGATTGCTTGAGGCCAGGAATTCAAGACCAGCCTAGGCGACACAGCAAAACTCTGTCTCTACAAAAGCTAGAAAAATTAACTGGGTATGGTGGTGCAGGCATTTAGTCCCAGCTACTCATGAGGCTGAGGTGGGAGGATCTCTTGAGTCTAGGTGCTCAAGGTTACAGTGAGTCATGACTGCACCACTGCACTCCAACCTGGGCAACAGAATGAGACCTTGTCTCTAAAGAAAAAAAAAAGTAAATAAGTAAAATTTAAATACATAATGTGTATATATACTTTAGGATTATATAAAGATAAAATAAAAAACTGTACCTCTAGGGGAAGATTGTATAAAGATAAAATAAAAAACTGTATCTCTAGGGGAAAGAGAGACATCTGTACACACATTTCATGGCAGCATTATTCACAATAGCCAAAAGACACACGGTACAACATGGGTGAACCTTGAAGACATTATGCTAAGTGAAATAAACCAGCGCAACAAGACAAATACTGTATGATTCTGCTTGTAGGAGGTATATAGAGTAGTCAAACTCAGAAATAGAAAGTAAAATAGTGGTTGCCAGCATCTTGGAAGGAGGAGAAAACAGGGAGTTATAAATGGGTGTAGAGTTTGAGTTTTGCAAGATGGAAAGAGTTCTTGGAGGCCGGGAGCGGTGGCTCAAGCCTGTAATCCCAGCACTTTGGGAGGCCGAGACAGGCGGATCACAAGGTCAGGAGATCGAGACCATCCTGGCTAATACGGTGAAACCCCGTCTCTACTAAAAAATACAAAAAACTAGCCGGGCGAAGTGGTGGGCACCTGTAGTCCCAGCTACTTGGGAGGCTGAGGCAGGAGAATGGTGTAAACCCGGGAGGCGGAGCTTGCAGTGAGCTGAGATCTGGCCACTGCACTCCAGCCTGGGTGACAGAGCTAGACTCTGCCTCAAAAAAAAAGAAAAACAAAAAAGAAAAGAGAAGAGTTCTTGGAGACAAATCACAGAAGTGTGAATACACTTAGTACTGAACTGCACACTTAACAGTGATAGTGATGGGAAATTGCATGCCATGTGTATTTTACCACGATTTTGAAAAGAAAAAAGGAACTTAAGGGAACTAAGAATATGAGATTCAGGAACGTGATTCCCTGTGGTAGGGGGAAGTAATAGGGAGTTGGGAACATGGGACAGTGGTGTGTCACCAGCTGCAAGTTGTCAAGGTCCTAACTAATTTTGCATAGTGAGTTTCCTTTAAAAATAGTGCTTATTGTA